GTGCTTTAAACCACTGATTTCTCTGAAACTCGAGTTAGTTCCTCCTTAGTTTATGCTGCAGACTTGTGAAACTTCTCGTCATGAATTATATTTCATCGCTTTTTTCTTTTCTTTTCTTTGCTTCTTTTTTCCCAAGATGGCCTCCTTTTGCCCAAGCCAGAGATCGAACAGGAGGAAGAAGGCGAAGTTTCCCCAACTATGAAATCCATGGGGGACACGCAGAGGGTTGAGCCCCTTCGAGAAGTGAAGGAGGAACCCGAAGAAACGAGGCTCTTTATTTCAGTGGGTGAGTCCTGAAATACCCCCCAATATTTTTGTAACGGGGGTTGATTTACATAGAGGTCTCGAGTTATGACCACAGTTGAGCCTAAAATTTATGTTGCTAAATGAGTGTCAGGCCTGGAAGCCATCTTTATCGTTGGGCCTTCAGGCCTGTGACATTTCCTACTGTGGGAAACTGGGAGTGGGGGGGTGTTGTAGGGAGTTGGAGAAATATCTAGCCATAATAACATTCTTTTCTCTGAGAGTCAAGGACATGCTACCCTGCACCTGGAGTGGTGTGACTGGGAGGCATCTCCAGTTGGGACGATGCTTTGATTGGACCATGTGATGGACATGTGGGTGCAGGGGAAGGGACTTGGGGCTTTCTTTCGGGTGGGGAAAACCTGGAAGCTTTCAGATTCGGGTTTTACTCCGAAAAATAAGGTAATTCCCACAACACTGTCAAATAATTTACTAATTTACTTATTCTTCTCTTCCTTCCTAGTATCTATCTCTTCCCGCTTATGACTATAACCCTGTTGCTTGTATCTTTCAATTTATATTGTTTTTATTTGTTTCCTAGTACGATTTGATAGCTTATTAGTAACTTGGACTATCACTAAGTGTTATAGCTTTTTGATTCTCAATGAATGTATTTTATTCTCCTTATGTACACTGAGAGTATACACACCAAAGACAAATTCCTTGTGTGCCCAATCACACATAACAACAACAACAACAACAACAACAACATGTGTTGTGAACCAAGTGCCTGTCAGTCTGAATCCTAAAGTCCCACAAGATCTTGAGTTTCTCAAAGTTTTAGAGAATGAGAAACTCAAGATCTTGTGGTACTTTAGGATTCAGACTGACAGGCACTTGGTCCACAACACACCTGACATAACAATAGTTGAAAAGAAAAAAGGATGGTTCATTGACATTGCAAAACCTGGTGATGCACGGATTGAAGATAAGCAGCAAGAAAAAAACCACAAAGTACCGGGACTTGCAAATTGAATTTGAGCGACTGTGGAAAAAGAAATCGTGTGTTGTCCCGATTGTAATTGGAGCCCTTGGAGCAATACCCAAAGGGCTACCCCGCTATTTAGAAATTCTAAATTTGCCAGACTTGAACATTTTGACTCTACAAAAAACCACCTTACTCGGAACAGCTGACATCCTCCGACGATACCTTAACAGTTCCTAGGTCCTTGGTTAGGACTTGAGCTGCTGAGCTATTAACCAGCCTCAAAGGCTGTGAATCTCACTAAAGATTAACCAATAATAATAATAATAATAATAATAATAATAATAATAATAACAACAACAACTTTATAAAGTTAACTTTAGAATTCTATTCTATTAACCCGTATTACTTGGACCCCTGACAATCAGTTTGCAATTTATTTTTTTCCCCCTACTTTGCAGACAAACGAGAAGGAGGGAAAAAATCCAGGCGGAAGGGAGTTAAAAGGCAATGGGAAGGGAAGTCGGCCGAGGAAGACGAAGGAGGAGGAAGAGGAGAAGGAGGAAAAGGAGGAAGGGCTTTAGCTTGCGACCTCAAATTGGACGAAACTTTGGACCGCACGCTGGAAGACGGGGCGAAGCAGCACAATTTGACGGCCGTCAACGTACGAAACATCCTTCACGTAAGTGTTGGACGCGGCTGTTGGGGACGGTGTTGGATCCATGAACAGGTCGTCCTCAACTTAACAACGATTCGTTTTAACAATCGTTCGAAGTTAGAATGGCCCTGGGGGAAAAATGACTTAACACAGGTAGCTCTCGACTTAAACAACCGCCTGTTTAGTGACCGTAAATGAAGGTACAACGTCACTGGGAAAAAAGTGACTTAATGACTGTTGCCGCAATTGTCACGTGATCAAAATTCGGGCGCTTGGCAACTGATTTCTATTTATGACGGTCGCAGCGTCCCGGAGGCGGGATGTCACAATGGGGGAAAGCCAGATTCGCTTAACAAGCGTGGCGAGAATGTTCGTAACATGGGGCAAAAACTCCCTTGACAAATGTCTCACTTAGCGACCAAAATACTGGGCTCAATTGCAGTCGTACATCGAGGACCATTTCCTCGTGAGCGTTGGTCAGCGTCCCCTCCCCGGTCAAAATTTGGGTGCTCGGCCACCGGCGTGTGCTTAACGACGGTTGCAGGTCACATGATCATCCTTTCTCATCATCTCGGCCAAGCTTCCGATCCACCAAAAGCCTGATCTGCTTAACGACCGCATCATTCACTTAATGGCTGCAGCGACGCCCTTAAAACTGTGGCACAGACGGTCGCCAACCTTCCCCTTTCCGTCGCTTCTCAAGGGAGATTTGGGGCTCAATTATGGTCATCAGTCGAGGACTACAGATTTTTCCCATTCTTGCTTGGCTGCAGCCACCTGTTGTGACCTAGGCTTCCTGAGTCATTAAAACTCACGAGTAGTCCCCAAAACCTCTTTTATTGCAACAGCTGTGAATTACGTTCATTCACAGCCGAGTCCCAATTAGTTGCAAAAAAGTCCGGGAGAAGTCCTTCGGGATAATCACCAACCTTTCTCTCCCTTGACACGCTGCCAAAGACCTACTTGGCAAAGCCCCACAGAGTCCAGAATCAAACAGAGATGCCGACTGGGAACAGAATTAACAACGTTGCTTTCCTGCAAGGGGCCAACATGCCTTTGTTCCTCTTATGGGAGGGGCCAATCATCTCCAGGCCTTACTCCTGAGTCGTCCCTTTTGTTTTAACCGTTCGTGCCTTCTGGCAGCTCTGCGCATGCGCGCACTAGGAACAGGCTCCTCCTGTTCCTCTGCCTCTCTGATGTCCGGAGGCTCTGGAGTCTGTGCATAACTCCCAGATGGCCCTGGCCCCATCTCTGCCTCTGATGCAGAGCCCTTCCCCGGACTCCAGGACTGGCCCATGGTCCTCTCCAGCCTCCTCACTGGCCGACTCCGCTGCCAGCTCTGCAGGCTGCTGGTGGACCACAACACCCACCGTAATTGACGGACCACAATACCCACCGTAATTGACGGCTGCATTGAGCGGCTTTTCCTGGCTTGGAAATCATCCAGTTGAGAAACTCTTATTTTTTTTTCCTCCCCACAGGAAGTCATCACCAACGAGCACGTGGTGGCCATGATGAAAGCTGCCATCAGCGAGACGGAAGACGCCCCGGTCTTTGTGAGTCTGGGGGCTCTCGGAAGAGAAGAGAAGGGGGAGGACGCCATTTTCTGTATCTCCGCAGGAAGAAAAAATAGATCCAGCAGGTCTAATCATAATTAAATTAAACAAGTTTTCTCCATCTCTCTCTCTCTTTCTCTTTCTTTTTTCTCTCTCTCTTCTCTCTCTTCCTCTTCCTCTGTTTCTCTTTGTCTCGTTCCCTCTCTTTCATTTTTTTCTCCCCCCATTTCTCTCTCTTTGTCTCTTTTTCTCTCTTTCCCCCTCTCTCTTTTCCCCTTTCTTCTCTCTTTTTCTCATTCTTTATCTTTTTCTCTTTCTCTCCCTCTTTCTTTATTTTTCTTTCTTTCTCCATCTCTCTTTTTCTCTCTTTTTTCCTCTCCTCTCTTCCTCTTCCTCTATTTCTTTGTCTCTCTCTTTCATTTTTTCTCTCCCCATTTCTCTCTCCTTTCTTTGCCTCTTTTTCTCTTTCCCTCTCTTTCTCCCCCTTTTTCTCTCTTTTCTATTTCTTTCTCTTTTTTTTCTCATTCTTTCTCTTTTTCTCTTTCCCTCTCCCTTTTTTTCTCTTTCTCTTTCTCCATCTCTCTTTTTCTCTCTCTCTTTCTCTCTTTCTCTTTTTTCTCTATTCTTTCTCTTTCTCTTTCTCTATTTCTCTTTGTCTCTTTTCCTCTCTCTTTCATATTTTCTCTCCCCATTTCTCTCTCCTTTCTTTGTCTCTTTTTCTCTCTTTCCCTCGGTCTTTCTTCCCCTTTCTCTCTTTTTTCTCTCTATTTCTTTCTCTCTTTTTTCTCTCATTCTTTTTCTCTTTCCTTCTCTCCCTCTTTCTTTATTTCTCTGTCTTTCTCTTACCCTCTTTCTCTTTCTCCCTTTCTTTCTCCTACTCTCTCACTCTCTTTCCCTCTTTCTCTGTCTCTCTTTCCTTCTCTCTCTTTCTCTTTTTCCCCCTTCCCCCAATTCAGGAGCCCAAAATGACACGGTCCAAGCTGAAAGAAGTGGTAGAGAAAGGGGTGGTAAGTAAAACCTAATAGCAGTATAGCTCGTTCGTTCGTACCTATACCGAAATGGTGGGGATTTTTTTTTAATTTTATTATTTTTTTATTATTATTAAATTTCTATACCGCCCTTCTCCCGAAGGACTCAGGGCGGTGAATAGCCAGAAGATAAAACACAGAGATACAAAATTTAAAATAGATTAAAACAAATTAAATAATTTGGCTGAATTTTAAAACACCCCATAATTAAACAGATTAAAATTTGTATTTAAAATTTAAATTGAAAAGAGGAGAAGATTTAGAGGAGAAGATTTAAAATTTAAAATATTGATTTCTATCCCGCTTTTATTCTTTTTATAAATAATCCAATCCAGCTGGCTTTCATGCCGAAGGTGGGACTAGAACTCCCCGTCTCCTGGTGATTGGCCCAAAGTCACCCAGACGACTTTCATGTCTAAGGCAGAACTAGAACTCACCGTCTCACCTTTTCTAGCCTGGTGCCTACCCAAAGATGTCTTGTTTTTCTTTTATTTATTAGTCTTATAAGATACGGCAACAGATTCTCTCTGTTTCCTGAAACAGCTTGGATAAACGTGGGGCCATTTTCAGAAAATTCTAATTATAAATGAACGAATGCAAGCATTGATTCCTGAATGAATGGGGAGAGCGGAGTTTCCTGCGTAGAATTCCTGATTTTCCTGCCCTTCCTGATTTATTTATTTTTTTTGTATTTGATGGCAGAGGTGCCAAATCCTATGTGTTGCTTCCTCAGGTAATACCAACCTGGAATATTTCTCCCATCAAGAAAGCCAACGAACTCAAGGTTAGTTACTCTTGAGATTTTAATAATATACTCTGGCAGGCCTTTTATTGTTCTTTCATACATTGGGAATAGAAGCCCATAAAAATCTGGAAAATACACTTATTTGCTGTGCTGGTAAATGGATCAGTTAGCAAATTCCTTTATCTGTGGGGTCTTCGGTGCTCTCTGAGCTTGGTGGTTTTATTCCAGAGGTTTCACCACCCAACTAGGTAACCTCATCAGCTCTAGAAGGAAGGGGATTTTGCAGAGCGCAGGAGAGCAGGGTGGTGGGGAAGAAGACCGTGGGGTCTTCGGTGCTCTCTCGAGCTGGTTTGCTTTCCTTGCAGACCTCTCACGACCCAACTAGGTAATGTCATCAGTGCTAGAAAAGTCACCAACCTCCGAGACCACCGAGGACCCCCACCGTTCCTTCAGCTCTTAGCTACAAAAGAGTCTCTTCCATAAACTCTTTTCAAAAAGTTTTTGCAGGATGGAAAACTAGAAAGATTAAATTAAATTCACCCCTCTCTCTCTCTCTGGCTTGCCTGGGTTCACCCATCCACGGAAGCTCCTTTCCCGCCCTCTTTTCTCTCTCTGTGAAAACTCACTTTTCCTTGTCCCCCCCCCCTTCCCCATCGCTGCAGCCCCCTCAGTTCGTCGACATCCCGCTCGAAGACGACGATTCCTCCGACGAGGAATACCAACCGGAAGAGGACGAAGAAGACGAAACGGCGGAAGAGGTAAGCTTTGCAAATGGAGGCGGGGGGGGGGAAGGGAAAACCGTCCCTGCACGCAGAAGTCTAGCATCTCAAGGAATAGAACTAGATTTCTGCTGGAGGGGATTTTTCAGCCCATCAGCCTGAGAAGCTAAACCGTCAAATCTTTTAATCAAAAATACCAAGAAAAACATGTCACCCGCCGATTAAGCTGACACTCAAAAAAGTTTTCACGCTTTGGTTTCCAAAATGGGGCCGAATCCGCGCGATATTTTGGATTCCAATTGTGAAGGGGCGTTTATCCAGAGAGGGATTTATTTATATAAAAATAAATAATATTCGGCAGATCGAATCTCGCCAGGCTCAAGGTTGACTCAGCCTTCCGTCCTTCCGAGGTCGGTAAAATGAGGAGCCAGATGGTTGAGGGCGATAGACTGACTCTAAACCACTTAGAGAGGGCTGTGAAGCACTGCGAAGCGGTATGTAAGTCTATGGGCTAGTGCTATTCCTTCCTTCCTTCCTTCCCTCCCTCCCTCCCTCCCTCCCTCCCTCCCCTTTCCTTTCCTTTCCTTCCTTTCCTTTCCTTTCCTTCCTTTCCTTTCCTTTCCTTTCCTTTCCTTTCCTTTCCTTTCCTTTCCTTTCCTTTCCTTTCCTTTCCTTTCTTCCCTTCCCTTCCCTTCCCTTCCCTTCCTTCCCTTCCTTCCCTTCCCTTCCCTTCCCTTCCTCTCCCCTTCCTTTCCTTTCCTCCTCCCTCCCTCCCTCCCTCCCACTGTTTTCCATCACTGGAGGTTTTCAAGAAGAGACTAGACAGCCACTAGTCTAAAATGGTAGAGGTTTCTGCTTGAGCAGGGGGTTGGACTAGAAGTCCTCTAAAGTCCCTTCCAACTCTGTGCTTCTGTCCTTCCTTCCTTCCTTCCTTCCTTTTTTCCCCATCACTGGAGGTTTTCAAGAAAAGACTGGACAGTCACTTGTCTGAAATGGTCTAGTAGGGGGTTGGACTAGAAGGCCTAATGCCTCTCCCAACTATTCTGCTTCTTTCTTTCTTTCTTTCTTTCTTTCTTTCTTTCTTTCTTTCTTTCTTTCTTTCTTTTCTTTCTTTCTTTCTTTCTTTCTTTCTTTCTTTCTTTCTTCTTTTTCTTCTTTCTTTCTTTCTTTCTTTCTTTCTTTCTTCTTTCCTCCTTCCCTCCCTCCCTCCCTCCCTCCCAGGAGGTTGGACTAGAAGGCCTCCAAAGTCCCTTCCAATTCTGTTAATCTGCTATTCTTCCTTCTTTTCTCCCTCCTTCCTCTGTCTCCCTCCCTCCCTCCCTCCCTCCCTCCCTCCCTCCCTCCTCCCTTCTCCCCTTCCTTCCTTCCTTCCTTCCTTCCTTCCTTCCCTTCCCTCCCTCCCTCCCTCCCTCCCTCCCTCCCTCCCTCCTTCCCCATCACTGGAGGTTTTCAAGAAAAGATTGGACAGCCAGTTATCTGACATGGTCTAAGGTCTCCTGCTCGAGCAAAGGATTGGACCAGAAGACCTCCGAGGTCCCTTCCCAAACTCTGTTACTCTCTCCCATCGGTTCTGCCGTGGCTGCCGGTAGCGTGACCAGGGGAGACCGATCAGCAGCAGCAGCAGCACACACACAATCACACAATCACATACACAATCACACACACACAAACTCCGTCTGATTTCCTTCCCTGTTGCTTCTTTCCCCCCCCCCCAGAGTTTATTGGAAAGCGATGTCGAAAGCAATACCTCGTCCCCTCGGGGGCCCAAGCGCTTTCGTTCGAGACCGTCGGATATGGTGGAGACGGACGAGGAAGGAGTGGCCCCCTTGGAGGTAAGCGGGGAGAGGTGTTGGGGAGGGGGTGTCTTCACTTCCTCAATCCCCTGCTTTCCTCCCACGCGCTTGCTCTAGTTGTTGGGCGAAGCACCGCCGTTGTTAAGTGAATCAGGCAGTCCTTAAGCGAATCCGGCTTTCCCCGTTGAGTTTTCGGACCGGCTCGACCAGATCGAGCATTTCACCCCCGGATAGGCGGCGATATAAATCCCCTCAATAAAGAAATAAAATGAAATAAATGCGGGGAGAAAAAGTCCTAAAACTGGACAAGGCTCCCTTCGCAAATGTCTCACTTAGCGACATCAATTTTGGGCCCCGTTGCGGTCGTAATTGAGGACTCCCTGTAAGGAATTAGCAGAAACCTTTTAACAATTCAGGAGATCGTTTTCGGTCCTGAAGCCATTCCGGTTTTTTTCTCGTCCAGGCCGAGAAGGGGTCCAGCCCTCCGGCCCAGCGACACGTCAGTGCCGAGGTCATCCCTATGGGCCCACCGCCGCCCCCCAAGCCCAAGCAAAACAAGGACACCGTTTTCATGGAGAAGCTCCATGCCGTCGACGAAGAACTGGCCTCCAGCCCCGTCTGCATGGATTCCTACCAGGTAAGATCTAGCGAATATCCTGTTCGCTCCGACGGGAAGGAAGCCCAGCTTCCAAGATCAGCTCTTAGCCCTCCCGGCCTTCATGGCAGGACTAGAACTCCCAGTCTCCTGGGGATTGGCCCAAAGTCACCCAGCCGACTTTCATGCTTAAGGCAGGACTAGAACTCCCAGTCTCCTGGTGATTGGCCCAAAGTCACCTAGCTGGCCTTCACGGCAGGACTAAAACTCCCAGTCTCCTGGTGATTGGCCCAAAGTCACCCAGCTGACTTTCATGCTTAAGGCAGGACTAGAACTCCCCGTCTCCTGGTGATTGGCCCAAAGTCACCCAGCTGACTTTCATGCTTAGGCAGGACTAGAACTCCCAGTCTCCTGGTGATTGGCCCAAAGTCACCCAGCTGGCTTTCATGCTTAAGGCAGGACTAGAACTCCCAGTCTCCTGGGGATTGGCCCAAAGTCACCCAGCTGACTTTCATGCTTAAGGCAGGACTAGAACTCCCAGTCTCCTGGTGATTGGCCCAAAGTCACCCAGCTGACTTTCATGCTTAAGGCAGGAGTAGAACTCCCAGTCTCCTGGTGATTGGCCCAAAATCACCCCGCCGTCTTTCATTCATGCTTAAGGCGGGACTAGACCTCACAGCCTCTTGATGATTGGCCAAAAGTCACCCCGCTGCCTTTCATGCTTAAAGTAGGATTAGAACTCGGAATCTTTAGGTGATTATTTGTTGCGAGTGGCAAATGCTTCCGTTGCCAGCAATTCTTATCACCGCATGTTTTTTCACCTTCAATAAATCTCGTTAAAGAAGACCGTGGGAATTTTTCTCGCGAGAACCTCTTCCAATGTTAAGATGCTCCCTTTCCTTCCCAGCCTCTGGAAGACAGCTTAATTGCCTTCCGCACCCGATCCAAGAGACCCCTGAAAGACGTGCCCCTCGGTCAGTTGGAGGCCGAACTTCGGGCTCCGGACATCACTCCGGACATGTACGACCCCAATACGGCGGACGACGAAGAGTGGAAGCAATGGCTGGGCGGGCTGATGAACGACGACGTGGAAAACGAAGGCAAGTTTGAACTCCAAATCTTCAATTTTGGGGTTTACTGATTACAACTGATTTGGTTTTGTAGAAATGGCTACTTTTGTATTATTCTGGAAAAAGTGAAAAGTTGAGGGTCAATGTCTGTAGAGATTCTCCGTCATCCAGGTCAAAGGTGCTTTTTCAGGAGGCAAGTATGTCAGCACTCCAAACTACATTCGTTCCAGTGATGACATAAGGAGGAGAAGAGGGGGCAGCTGGCAAGAGGACGCTTGGCTTTTCACCTACTTATTTTCCCTGAAGATAATATCCCCTAGGAGATGGGATGGGAGGGGGGACATTCCTGGGAGCTGAAGTAGTAGATATGGGGAGAGTGATTTGGAAGATGGCCAATGAGACACAGAGAATTGGGGAACGGAAAGGGAAGGTTTGGGGTCAGGAAGTCAGTGTTGGCTGCGACATAATCGGGGACAGATTGTCGTGCTTAATAAATGAAAGATTTCATCAAAGACTATTTGTTTGGAAATGCAATTTATTTGAGACGACACCGAAACCTGACAAAGTGGACTTTCTGGTTTTTTTCTCTTGAAGATGTTTCACTTCTCATCCAAGAAGCTTCTTCAGCTCTGACTGGATGGAGGGGAATGGAAGGATTGATACTTTCCGAAGCATCGTCGGAAGGAATTCTCTCATTAAGATAATGGCCTTTTTTTCCCCTCCTCCAGATGAAGCTGACGATGACGATGATCCCGAATATAATTTTTTGGAAGATCTGGATGAACCGGACACGGAAGACTTCAGGAACGACCGTGCCGTCAGAATCACAAGTACGTTCCCCTTGTCTGCGGTTAGTCCTCGTTTTACGACCACAAGACAGCCTAGAGTTGTGGTCATAAGCCATTGCAGTCGTATGTCAAGACACTACATGACCAGCAGGCAACAGAATTTCATTTTTAATGTGTGCCAGTGTTTCCACAGTAAAAAATGACAATAAAGGTTAATTCTATCTATCTATCTATCTATCTATCTATCTATCTATCTATCTATCTATCTATCTATCTACCTACCTACCTACCTACCTACCTATCTATCATCTATCTCTATTTCTACATCATCCATATCTATATCATATCTATCATTCTATCATCTTTCTATCATCTCTATCATTCGATTATCTCTACATCCATCCATCCATCCATCTACCTTTCTATCATTCTATTATCTATATCCTATCTATCTATCTATCTATCTATCTATCTATCTTTAATCTATCTATCTATCTATCTATCTCTATTTCTATTTCTATCTCTATAGCATCATCATCCATATCTACATCATATCTATCATTTCATCATCTTTCTTTCCATCATCTCTATCATTCTATTATCCATCCATCCATTTATCTATCTATCTATGTTATCTATCATTCTATCATTCTGTTACCTATATCCCATCCATCCATCCATCTATCTTTTTATCATTCTATCATCTATATCCCATTTATCTACCTACCTATGGTATCTATCATTCTATCATCTATATCCCGTCCGTCCGTCTGTCTGTCTATCTATCTATCTATCTATCTATCTATCTATCTATCTATCTATCTATCTATCTATCTATCTATCTATGGTATCTATCTACCATTCTATTACCTATATCCCATCTATCCATCTATCTATCATTCTAACATTCTATTATCTATATCCCATCTACCTACCTACCTTCCTTCTTACCTACCTGTGGTATCTATCATTCTACCATTCTGTTATCTATATCCCATCCATCCATCCATCCATCCATCCCTCTATGTACCCTGTTTCCCCCAAAATAAGACATTATCCCTTGATAATAAGCCCAATCGGGCTTTGGAGCGCATAGCAATAAGGCCAAGCACTTATTTCAGGGTTCAAAAAAATATAAAACAGGGTCTTATTTTCGGGGAAACACAGTAGATATCTACCTACCAACGGTGTCTTATCTGTGTATCTATAACTGCAAACAACTTTTGTTAAAAAACCAGGTTTTCAGGCGTTTTTAAGACGTCGCAGCCAGAAGTCCGGTGATTTCACTGACCCTCCTCTCCATTTTTGTGTCCCGCAGAGAAAGAAGTGAACGAGCTGATGGAGGAGCTGTTTGAAACGGTGAGTCTTCCTGGCCCTCCGTTGGAACGGATCCAGCGAAGTCGCCTGCTTCTGTAAGCTGGCGACTTCGTCAGTGTCTGCTTTTGTAAGCTCAATTTTCCAAAATCAGTTTCAGGATGAAATCAGCTTCCCTAACGTAGAGGATGATGGACAGGAGGACGAAGAGGGCACCGCTGAGGCCCGGCCCAATTTTAATACCCCTCAGGTGCTCAGGTAAGAAAGCCTCACCTGCCCTCTTATATTCATGATTGTCTTAACAGACAGGTGTCCGTCAAACAGGATAAGGGGAGCAATTTCTCCTTTTATTTCCATGCTTCTAGAGAAAAACCTTGCAGGCGGTCCTTGATTTGCATCCACAAATAGGAGCAGACGTTCCGTTGCTAAGCAAAACCGTTGTTAAGTGAGTTGTTCCCAATTTTAGGAATAGGAATATTCCTTATTGGCCAAAGCGTGATTGGACACACCAAAGGAATTTGACTCTGGCGAATGAGCCCTCGGTGTACCTAACGTCCTTTTTGTCACCGTTGCTAAGCAGATCACCGCAGTTGTTAAACGAATCACAGTGCCGTTAAGCGAATCCGGCTTCCTCCTTTGACTTTTGCTTGTGGGAAGCCGGCCGAGAAGGTCACAAATTGGGATCATGTGACACAACCTAGAGGTTAAGCTCTCACCACACAATCAGGAAGCTGTGAGTTCGATCCTAGGTAGAGGCAGATATTTCTCTCTCTGGGCACAATGAGAATATTAATCTGCTGAACAAAACTCCGCACTGGTGACAGGAAGAGCATCCGGCCAGTAAACACTCAGCTAGCTCCATTCAGTTGCCCAGACTCCACCCTGATGCAAGGGATTATGGGGTCGTGAAAAGAAGATGATTTAGGGGATGCTACAACGGTCATAAGCGCGAGAAGCAATTGCAGGTTAAATTGTTTTCAGCGCCTTTGAACGGTCGCTAAACGGATGGTTGTAAATTGAGGCTATCTGTAATTCAGGATAATAGCGATTACAGGGGTACCTGTTCTTCAGTACCTGGAATTTCAATTCTATATGTCTTATTAGCAGTTGTGGTCGGTCGGTGGGCAAGCAATGGCCTTTCACTAAACTTCAACTCCCAGAATGCCCTGCTACTGGCGAGGCATGCTGGGAGTTGAAGTTCCACACAGCTTTCCCGTCTCTGTGCTGACCCCCAAGTCTGATCGATATAGGCTCTTGTCTGTTTGAGGGCTGAGGTCTCCTTATCTGTGGGGCAGGGGGCCCGAAAGGAACGGCAACCCTGTTTGGGAAGGGAGAGAGAATAAAATTGGCTGGGCCTTCGCCTCCCTTCTAGACTGAGCAGTATCAGAAGCGGATGGCAAGATCACCTCTGCCTAGCTACAGTCGGGGAACCGGGTTACCAAGAAATACACAATTCCTCGCCTTACGACCACCATCGAGCCCCCAAAATTCCCGCTGCTAAGCGAGACAAGCTGTTAAGAAAGCTTTCCTCCACTCACGCAAGAGAGAAACCTTCGGGGCGCCGTCCTTCCCAACCCCTTGACTCCCTCCCATCCCAAAGGGCCCTCCCCCCCTGTTGTGGCCCGCCAGCGGAGCCAACAGCAGAGTCGGACAGTGAGGAGGTTGGGGAGGAACATGGGCTAGTCCTGGGGGCTGGGGAAAGCTCGGACGAGGGCTCTGCGTCGGAGGCAAAGAGGGAGCTAGACAGTGAGGCAGAGGAACAGCTGGAGCCCGTTCCGGCTTTTGCAGGAAACAATTCGTTCGTTCCGAGACTCTGTGCCAAGTTTGGCCTTGTACTGTGGTTGGAAACTAGTTACGTGGCAGCTTGCCAAGCGAGATGAGGTCTGTGTTGATAAATATTCCTTTGAAAGACTGTTTGGACAGGCCTTGCCGACTGTGAATGAAAGGAATTCAGAGTCGTGTCAATAAAAGAGGTTTTTGCCAGGACCCTGTTTCTCTAAAGAGGAGGGAGAAGACGGCAGGGCACGTGGCGGGGTTAGCATCCCCAAACCTGGTACCACCAGCCCCATCCCATCTTCACACACCCCCTCCCCTCTTGGCGCAGGTTCGAAGAACCCTTGGCCAATCTGTTGAACGAACAACACCGGACGGTGAAGGAACAGCTGGAGCAGCTGCGGGTGAAGAAGTCGACGGTCAAGCTGCCCCAGGAGATGGAGAGGTCCAAGCTGCGGAACGAGAAGGCGGCCCAGACCCTGGCGCTGGACGCCGGGCAGAGGAAGAGGCTGCAGCAGCAAATGCAACAGGTTGGGTGCCCACCGCCTCGGGCCTGGTTTCTCGTTTTTGGGAGGGTGCCCTTCCTGTACCCCGAAAGAGGGCTTCCTCCGCCGGAGGAATTCTTCCCCGTTCCGCAGGACGCTTGCCCCTAAGCTTTAGCTCTCCGACTCCGGGGCGGGTGGTTTTTGGGAACGGGGTGTCTGCTGCTCTGACCACTGACCTCTCTCTCCCCAACTGTTCCAGCACGTGCAGCTTCTGACTCAGGTTCACCTCCTGGCCAGTTGCAACCCGAGCCTGAACTCCGAGGCCAGCACTGCCCGGCTCTTCCTGGTAATTTCTGACTTTTGAGAGTGAATGTGCTTCAGATGAGCTCCTCCTCTTGGTCCTTCTCCATCTTTCCCTCTTCCTCCTCTATCTTCTCCTTCTCCTTCTCCATCTCCTCCTTCTCTTTCTCCTCCTCTTCTTCGTCTCCTTGTCCTCCATCTCCTCCGCTTTCTCCTCCTCCATCGCCTCCTCCATCTCTTCTCCATCTTCTCGTCATCCACGTTTTCTCCTCCTCCTTGTCTATCCCTCCATCTTCTCCTCCTCTATTTCCACGTCCTCCATCTTTTCCTTCTCCTTGTCCTTCTGCATCTTTTCCTTCTCCTTTTCCTTCTTCTCTATCTTCTCCTCCATCTTTCCCTTCTCTTCCTCTTTCTCCTCCTCCTCCATCTTCTCTTCTTGTCCTCCACCTCCTTTTTCTCCTCCTCCTTCATCTCCTCCTCTTCCTCTTTTCCATCTTCTCGTCCTCCACATCTTCTCCTTCTTGTCTGTCTTTCCCTCCATCTTCTCATCCTCTTCATCTATTTCCATCTCCTCCATCTTTTTCTTCTCCTCCTTGTCCTTCTCCAGCTTTTGCTTCTCCTTTTGCTTCTCCTCCATCTTCTCCTTCTCTATTCTCCTCTTTTTCTGTCTTCTCCCTCTATATCTCCTCGTCTCTTCGTCTTCTCTTCCTCCTTGTCTATGTCTTTTTCTTCCTTCTTGTCCTCTTCAATCTTCTCTGTCTTATCTGCCTCTGTCCTCATTCTCCTCAAGTATCTTTTCTCTTTGTCCTTTTTCATCTTCTCTTTCTTTGTCTATCTTCTCCATCTCCTCCTCCTCCTTGTCTTTCTCCTCTTCTCCTTGTCCTCTTTCTCCTCCTCCATCTTCTCTTCTTCTCCTCCATCTCCTCGTCCTCCACCATCTTCTCCTCCTCCTTGTCTATCTTTCCCTCCATCTTCTCATTGTCGTCCTCTATTTCCATGTCCCCCGTCTTCTTCTTCTCCTTGTCCTTCTGCATCTTTTCCTCCTTCTCCATCTTCCCTTTCTCCATCTCCTCCATTGTCGTGACCTCCTCCTTGTCTGTCTTCTCCTCATCTATTTCCATCTCCTCCATCATCTTCTTCTCCTTGTCCTTCTCCATCTCTTCCTTCTCCTTTTCCTTCTTCATCTTCTCCTTCTCTCCTCCTTGTCTGTCTTCTTCTATATCTTCTCTCTTTGCCTTCTTTTCCTCCTTGTCTATCTCCTCCTCCTCTTCCTCCTGCTCCTCTTCAGTCTTCTCCTTCTTGTCTGCCTCTGTCTTCTCTTTCTCCTCAACTATCTTCCCTTTGTCCTTTTTCATCTTCTCTTTCTTTGTCTATCTTCTCCATCTCCTCCCCCTTGTCTTTCTTCTCCTCCTTCATCACCTTCTTGTCTTTCTCCATCTCCTCCATCTCCATCTTTCTCCTTCAACTTCAGGCTGAACTGAAATCCCATGTTTTTTGAGCTTGGGCTGAAAAATTGGAGGAACGAATCCAGATGGATACCTGCCCTGCTTCCTTGAACCCTCCCCAACCCTTCCTTCACCCTCCGGCGTGATTTTCAGCGTGTTTTTCCTCCTTCCCTTCCTCAGAACGAGTTGGAAAGCTTTGCCAAGAGCTCCCTTCTCCTCAGCCAGCCTTCCAGTCCCGGATTCCAGACCTGTTTCCAGCCTTTTAACTTGAAGGAATCTCTGCAGCTGATCAAAGATTTCCACGCTCACGTCAAGATCGAGTGGAGCCCCCGGAAAGCCGTCAAAAAGAACAGTTGAGTGTCTCCCTCTCGTAAATTTAGATAATTTAATAATTATTTTGTTATGTTATGTTTAGATATAAATATACGTAAAAGATTTGAATTAAGAGATATATGTATGGGGGTGGAAGAAATGGGTAGATTATGAGTTGAATAAACGTTAAATTAGGATTTATTATATAGTTATATAGCTGAAGGTTGCTTTGAAATGTATAATATAGGGGGGATACAATAATAATGTTAGAAAAGAAATGGTTAGCATGTGGGGGGTGGTGTAAAAGGATGGTAAAGTATTATATAATTTGATATCAATTTGGATTTTATTTTGGAGAAGCCATGGGGGGAGGGGAGGGTGACGGGGGGTTAGGGAGGATGGGGGGGAAAAAAAGTGGGGAAAAATCTGTATTTGAAAATTTTTTTCAATAAAAATAATAATAATTATTATTATTTTAAAATACCATATTTTTCAGTATTTAGAAGAGGAAAACAACAACAAAAACGTTTTTGCCTCCATGCGTCCCATTTTCTGCCCTTTTTTCTGCCCATTTTTGAGGCTTTACTCAGCCCATTTTTTGAGGCTTTTTTCATGCCGTTTTGGGGGCTTTTTTGGCCCGTTTTTGAGGCTTTACTCAGCCCATTTTTGAGGATTTTTGGGATGTTTTTAACCAAAGAAATGGGCCAAAAAGGGCGAAAAAAAGGCCAAAGAAAGGCCCAACAACAGGGCGTGCGGAGGCCCCAAAATGGCGGGTGGGTGGGCGGGGCTTCAGCAATATTCAGTCTATAAGACGCACAGACATTTTCACCCCCATTTTGGGAGACAAAAAAGGCATCTTATAGTCCAAAAAATACAGTAATTGGGTGGATAAGGAATTATTAAGAAAACAAGGAAGACATCGAGCGACACTCTTGAAAATCCATGCAAAAAAAAAAAAATCCACACAGAGTCCTCGACTTATGGCTATAATTTCCTGTCACAAGTGAGACATCCGTTTGGTGCGTTTGGCCCCATGTTAAGACCTTCCTTGCCACAGTCATTAAGCGAATCCATGCAGTGGTTAAGTTAGCAACAGGGTCGTTCAGTGAATCTGGCTTCCCCGTTGACTCTTGCTGGTCAGAAGGTCGCAAAACGAGGGGGGTCATCACATGACCACCACCCCCGGAGGACCCTACAACCGTCATAAATATGAGTCAGTTGCCAAACATACGTCCGAACCTTGATCAGGTGACCGTAGGGATGCTGCAGTGGTCATAAGTGTGAGGACTGGTCCAAAGTCAGTTTTTTAAGTGTCGTAAAACTTCAGATGGTTATTAAACAAAGGTTTGTAAGTCAAGGTGCGATTTTGAGAAAGAGGTGGAGAGGATTTTTTTCATTTTTCTTTTTTAATAAAATATTTTTTTCGCATTTCTTTTTTTTTTTTTAATAAACTAAAACCACTTTCCCAAATCCTGATCCTGAACTTTTTCTGAACGTTGCAAGAAAGGAATTAAAAAACGGATTATTATCATCTTCTCCTTCCGATTCTCTCTCTCTCACTTGATTCTTTTAGTGACCGATTTCGCTTGCTTGCCCAAGCAAGTGGCCTGGATCCTGGCCACGCGCAGAGTTTTCCTGTACCCGGAGCTGCTGCCCACCTGCTCCTTCAAGGCCAAAACTCCCCGAGACAAGATCGTCTTCACCAAAGGAGAAGATAAGTACGTACATCTGCCTGACGTAACGGTGGGAAATTCTGGGGCCCAATTTTGGTCGTACATCGAGGTTTAGTCATCAGGGAATTTGATTCAAGCTCTTAACATTTGTCAACAACCGTTTCTCTGAAATGTTATAAGGTTTCTTTGCCTGAGTAGGGGGTTGGACTAGAAGACCTCCAAGTTCCCTTTCAATTCTTCCCTTCCCTTCCCTTCCCTTCCATATTTCCTATTCTATTCCGTTCCGTTCTGTTTTATTCTTCTATTTCTATTCTATTTCTTATTCTATTCTGTTTTCTGTTTTATTCTTCTATTTCTATTCTATTTCTTATTCTATTCTGTTTTCTGTTTTATTCTTCTATTTCTATTCTATTTCTTATTCTATTCTATTCTGTTTTATTCTTCTATTTCTATTCTATTTCTTATTCTATTCTGTTTTCTGTTTTATTCTGTTTTGTTCTTCTATTTCTATTCTAATTTTTATTTTATTTTATTCTAATTCTATTCTAATTTTATTCTGTTTTATTCTATTTCTATTCTATTCTTATTCTATTCTATTGTATTCTGTCTTATTCTATTTCTATTCTATTTCTATTCTAATTCATATTCTATTCTGTTTTATTCTTCTGTTACTAATCTATTTCTTATTCTGTTTTATTCTGTTCTATTTCTATTCTAATTCTTATTCTATTCTGTTTTATTCTGTTCTATTCTTCTATTTCTATTCTAATATTTTATTTTATTATATTCTACTTCTATTCTATTCTTATTCTACCCTATTCTGTTTTATTCTATTTCTATTCTGTTTCTATTCTTCTAATTCTGTTCTTATTCTATTCTCTATCTCTATTTCTATTATTTCTATTCTGTACGTTGTCACTAACCTAACTGAACACCAGCAGCGATGTCCCCCTTTTTTTATCAGGGCCGTTGTAACTTTGAACTGTCACTAAATGAACTATCGTAAGTCAAGGACTAACTGTCCTAAGTCCCCTTTTTTATATCAAGGCCATTGTAACTTTGAATGGTCACTAAACGAACTGTCGTAAATCAAGGACTAACTGTTCTAAGTCCCCTTTTTTATATCAAGGCCGTTGTAACTTTGAACGGTCACTAAACGAACTATCGTAAGTCAAGGACTAACTGTCCTAAGTCCCCTTTTTTTATCAGGGCCGTCATAACTTTGAACAGTCACTAAACAAACTGTCGTAAATCAAGGATTACCTGTATTGTTCCCGATGTTCCCAGTCCTTCCTGACTTGCCTTCCTTTTCCTCGTTTCAGCTTGTTAGCGCTGGGTCTCAAACACTTCGAAGGCACCGACTTCCCCAAGCCCCTCATCAGTAAGTACCTTCTGACCACCAAGACAGCCCATCAGCTGACGGGACGGATCAAGAACCGGAACATGAATCGAGTTCCCGACAACATCATCCGGGTCAGTTCCCACTAAAGCCTTCTTTTCTGGATTCGCTTGATTAAATTAAACCATGGTCTGTTGAGGAATTCCTACGGAGATCCTCCATCATCCAGGTCACAGTTGTCCCCAAGGTGCTTTTTTCTTTTCAAGAGGCAACTGGACTTTCTGGTTTTATCTTTTGAAGACGTTTCGCTTCTCATTCCAAGAAGCTTCTTCAGCTCTGACTGGATGGAGGGGAATGGAAGGATTGATACTCCTTGCATGGTCATTTGCATCCTTTTTAGAGAGTCGTTGAGGCCACTTGGAGGTTTACCTGTATCCTCGGTGTCACCTGAGTGGTGCAAATGGGGTGTGGAGCCTTCTTGGAACTGCTGAAGGGACCGTGTTGTAGACTGGAGATAGATTGGGGAAACAAAACAGCCACTTCACAATCGCATGGCACAACATAACAGAACAAACCCATCAGGACAAGATTCAGCAGCCCATCTGCATTTCAAAGACAAAGGCTGCTCTTTTGAAGACAGCAAAGTCCACGTTTTGGACAGAGAGGACCGCTGGTTTGAGAGAGGGGTCCAAGAGGCCATCTTGGTCCAAGTTGAACAGCCCTCCCTCAACAGAGGGGGAGGGATAAGACATCGTCTATCTCCAATCTACCACACAATCCTTTCAGCAGTTCCAAGAAGCCTCCACACCCTATTTACACCACTCAGGTGACCCCGAGGACACAGGTAAACCTCGCAAGTGGCCTCAACGACCCTCTAAAAAAGGATGCAAACGACCAGCTGTCTGCAAGGAGTCTCAATCCTTCCATTCCCCTCCATCCAGTCAGAGCTGAAGAAGCTTCTCGGATGAAAAATCTAGAATGGGACAAAAACTCACTCGAGAAATGTCTCGCTTAGCCACGCAGAAATCTGGCGCTCGATTGCGGTCGTAATTTGAGGACTTCCCTTCTCTATAGATCAGTAGGCAAGGTCAGAAGTCCGATTGATCCGTTCTTTTATCGCTTCTTCCCGATCTTATCTCGATTTTCCAGTACTATAAAACCACGAAGCAACTTCCGGTTTTGCCCCGGCTTTGCGAGGAAATCCAGCCCGGAGATTGGAAGCCGCCTGCGGAACAGGAAGAACATCTGTTGCCCTTCTGGTTAAAGGTAAATTGTGGTGTTGGGTGTGTCATGTGAGGCTTTGCTTCACAATTGTGTGGCACCACAACATATTTTCCTGCTCCGCTTAACAGATGTAAGTCAAGGATGGCCTGTTCTTATCAGGCAGGCGTTAAAAATCCTTTAGGGAAATCTCTGTAATTCCACCTTTCTGGGACTCTCTCTCTTTTTTAAAGTATATTTATTTTATCACGTAAAGGTCAAATACGACAACAGAAAAACAAACAAAACGGCACTAACCACAAAAATTAGCCGACGACAAAAGAGAAAAAGGGGGTTCCAATAGGAAATAAATTTAACTTTTAACGTATAAAATTCACCTCAGCTGGAGGCTGGAAAAAAAAGAAAAATGGGGGGAGAAACAACTTTCTTGGTATTTTTTTATTTAAGTATATTTATTTGATCACAAAAAGGTAAAATACAAAAAATTGGGGGGGCGGGGAAACAGCTTTCTTGGTCTTTTTTAAATTTAAGTTTTATTTTAAGTATATTTATTTTATCACAAAAAGGTAAACTACAAAAGAGAAAAACAAACAAAGCCGCACTAACAAGAACCTCAAAAAATTAGCGTAAACAACAAAAGAGAAAAATACATTTATAGCCAGTAAAATTTAACTTTTAACGTAAAAAATCCATCCTGGCAGGACGCTGAAAAAAAGAAGGAAAGTTCACTCACACACAACACAAACACAATTTCCTTTTATTTTCCGCTCCCTTCAAACACAATTCACACACAAACGCCTATATTTTTTCCCTTTTTCTCCTTTTTTTGTCCCAGGCCAGCATGCCCTCTATCCAAGAGGCCATAGAGCAGCAGCAGCAGCGCGCTAGAGCGGACTCCCAGGGCCCCGATGCGGATCCCAAGGCGGGAAGCGACTCCGCCCATCCCGCCAACCCCGAGTGTCCTTTGCGCATGCCCGAGGGCCTCCAGCTCATCCTGAGACCTCTGAGCAGCCGTTTCTGTCGCCGAATCTGGCGATGGCAGCGGCCAGCCGCCGGCAAACCCTTCCTGGTTCAACCGAGCCTTTGTTTGCCCCCGGCCGGGACAGGCGGCTTCATCAAAATGAGTGCCAAGCAGCCCCTGCCTGCCGCAGCCCCCGGCAAATTAGCAACTCACGTCTCCCCCTTGTCCCAACCCGCCTCTCTGGTCCAACCCTTGTCGGCTGTGCCGCACCTGAATCTGCCCTCCGCCCTGGGCCACGGCGCCCCTTTTGAGCTGCAAGGCGTCCTCTCCGCTCAGCCGTCGGGGCCCCGGCCGTGCTTGGCCCCCGCGGTTCCCTCAAACGTCGTCTCTTCCCTTCCCGTCGCTTTCCACCCCAAAATGATCCTCCCGGCTTTGCCCTCCAACCGCGTCCGGAAGGCTCCTGTCCCGAGGGGGTACCAGAAGAAGAAGGCCCCCAAAGTGGTTCCTTTGCTGAAGGCCGCCCCGGTGCTTCATTCGACCCCCGTCATCTTCACCGTTCCTGCCGGGACAGTCAAAGTCTTGGGCATCGCCAACGGCTGTAACGTCCTGCAGCCCCTGTCCGCCGCCACCAGAGCGGTCTCGGCCCCCCAGCCCATCCCCATCACCACGCTGCTGGTCAACTCCACACCCTTCTCCTGCCCGCTCAACCAGTCCTTGGCGGCTTCTCCCACCCTGCCCTTGGTAGTCGCTTCAAATTCGGGCCCCACCCCGACGTCCGCGCTGGTCAAAGATATGGAGATGTCTACTCAACCGGTCAACAAGGTGGCGTCCGTTGGGGACGCTCCAGACCCTGGCAAGGCCAACCCCAAAACGGGCCCAGAAGAAGCTCCAGGAGATGTCGTTGGCTCGTGGTCCTCTAATCTTCACCCTGAGGTCCAAGCGGAACCTCCTGTCCAGGGTTACGTGGAGGTGGGCGAAGGCAGGCCTCCTGAGGTTGTAGTCCCCGCTCCCTTCTCCCCCATGGCGGAGTTAGGAGACTTAGTCAAGGTGGACTTGGAAGCAACCAAGGAGACACCATCTTCAGAGGCAGCCCCCGTTCCCCAAAATCCATCTTCAGAAGATTCTCCAATGAAAGAAGAGTTGATTTTGGGCCTCGGGCAGGGCCTGGAGGTTGAGCCGGCCTCGGCGGTCAAGAAGGAGCTGGAAGAAGTTCAGAATCAACCCGGCGGCGAGGAGGAGGAGGAGGAAGAAGAGGAGACCGCCAACTCAACCGGCCCGCAAGCATCGTCGTCGACAGAAGGAAGTCACGCTTCTCCCGCCAACGTCGTCGGCAGCTCCGTGGCGGACAACACCAGCAGCTCCTTGGGAAAGGTGGAGGCGTCGGCCAGCCAGGAGGGAGGAGGCGAGAAAGACGGGCTGGAGGAAGAGGAAGAGGAGGATTTTGATGATTACATCCAGGATGAGGAAGACGAGATGTCTTCGGCTTCCGAGGAATCGGTGCTCTCGGTGCCAGAACTTCAGGTAAGACCAGAACGGGGATTCTTCAATGCCTCCTGAGTTGCCTTCACCCTTCTCTTACGTCTTCAAGAAGAGAGTGGACAGCCACTTGTCTGAAATGATATAGGGTCTCCTTGGGCAGGGGTCTGGACTAGAAGACCTCCAAGGTCCCTTCAGCTCTGTTATTCTGTTATTCCTTCCTTCCTTCCTTCCTTCCTTCCTTCCTTCCTTCCTTCCTTCCTTCCTTCCTTCCTTCCTTCCTTCCTTCCTGTTGGACTAGAAGACCTCCAAGGTCCCTTCAGCTCTGTTATTCTGTTATTCCTTCCCTCCTTCCTTCCTTCCTTCCTTCCTTCCTTCCTTCCTTCCTTCCTTCCTTCCTTCCTTCCTTCCTTCCTGTTGGACTAGAAGACCTCCAAGGTCATTTCCAGGTCCTTCCTTCCTTCCTTCCTTCCCTCCTTCCTTCCCTCCCTCCCTTCCTTCTTTCCTTCCTTCCTTCCTTCCTTCCTTCCTTCCTTCCTTCCTTCCTTCCTTCCTTCCTGTTGGACTAGAAGACCTCCAAGGTCATTTCCAGGTCCTTCCTTCCTTCCCTCCTTCCTTCCTTCCTTCCCTTCTTCCTTCCCCCCTTCCTTTCCTTCCTTCCTTTCCTTCCCTCCTTTCCTTCCTTCCCTCCTGTCCTTCCTTCCTTCCCTCCCTCCCTCCCTCCCTCCCTCCCTCCCTCCCTCCTTCCTTCCTTCCTTCCTTCCTTCCTTCCTTCCTTCCTTCCTTCCTTCCTTCCTTCCTTCCTTCCTTCCTTCCTTCCTTCATCACTGGAGGTTTTAAACAAGAGATTGGACAGCCCTGTGTCTGAAATGGGATCGGGTCTCCTGCTTCAGCAGAGGGTTGGACTAGAAGACCTCCAAGGTCCCTCCCAGCTCTGTTCTGATTGATAGATCTGGTACCCATTAAGTATCAAACTTTAATTGATCAGATACTCAAAACAGCGTCCTCCTTCTTTGAGTCTATGAATCGATTTAATCACGAAGATCATCTGTAGGGAAAAGCCAAGCTTCATTTGTCATTGTTTTAATTTGGAGGGACGAATAAGGGGAGGGGGGTGCAGTTCAAAGTGGGGTGGGGTCTTGGATTGGCCCTGATCCAAGAGTTGTGCTGAATGTGCTCTCTGGTGGGGGTGGGGTGTCTTCAGGAGACCATGGAAAAACTCACCTGGCTGGCATCCGAGAGGCGGATGAGCCAGGAAGGCGATTCGGAGGAGGAAAACTCCCAGGAAGAGAACTCGGAGCCGGAGGAGGAAGAGGAAGAAGAGGAAGAAGGGGAAGGAGAACCTCTGGAGAGCCAACAGAAGGAGGACGAAATGGCCGACGAGGTTGTGGGCCCGGGGGACGGTCCGGCTTCCTCTCTCGCCTCGACCTGCGCCGCGCCGACGGTGGAGGCCAGTAGCAGCCCTCCAGGTCAGCTATCTTAAAAAAAATGGGGTTTCCCCACCCTTCTTCTTGAAATAAGATCGGAAAATAACAAAAGACGAGAAGGCATAAATGATTTTTTTTTTTTAAACGACAAGTTTGGAAAGATGGATTATATGGCCTCCATTTATTCAGTAGGTAGAAGACCTGATTAGGACAGATAGGTGCGGGGGCCTAGAGGTGGAGCTGTGGAGCCTCACAAATCAGGAGGCCGTGAGTTCGATCCCAGGTAGCGTCAGATATTTTTCTCTCAGGGCACAATGAGAATATTATCTGCCGAACAAAACCCCGCCCTGGCAACAGGAAAGGCATCCGGCCAGTAAAAAAAACACTCCGCTAGCTCCATTCAGTTGCCCAGACTCCACCCCACAAGGGATTATGCAGTCGTTAAAACAGGATGATGATACAGTAGAAGACCCGATTAGAAAGAGAGAGAGAGAGAGAGAGAGAGAGAGAGATGGCATTAGATCAATGTTTGTTAACCATGGTAACTTGAAGATGTATGGACTTCAACTGGTTTGAGGCCAGCTTTTCTCCTCCAGTCCATTTGGCAGGTTGAAGACAGGCAACCATGGTTACTGATAGACGAGAGTATTTGTAGCTCAGGGTTGAACTCTGGGATCCTCGGTGGTCTCTGAGCTTGGTAGTTTTCTTGCCAACATTTCATGACCCAACTAGGTAACGTCATCAGTGCTAGAAGAGAGGGGGGTTTGTGGAGAGGAGGACGACCGTGGGGTCCATGTTTTACTCTCTGAATTTGGTGGGTGTTTTTTTGCAAACATTTCACGACCCAACTAGGTAATAATATCAGTGCTAGAGGAGGTAGTGTTTGCGAGGAGGTGGAGGAAGATGGTGGGGTCCTTGAGCTATCCGTGCTTGGTGGTTTTCTTACAGACATTTAATGACCAAACTACGTAACGTCATCAGCACTGGAAGAGGGATTTTCAGGAAACCCCCCTCCCTTCTAGCACTGATGCTGTTACCTAGTTGGGTCATGAAAGCTCACGGTTACTCCATCGTGCCCATCCTCACTCGAACTCCCGTATTTTTCGCTCCGGCTACCTTGTCTTAGGAGAGAATCCCAAAACCGCTACCAAGAGCCGGGCGTCCCACCGAGCCCGGGCCAAGCGGGGCCGGGGCCGCACCAGCAAAGACGCCTCCAAGCTCCTCCTCCTTTACGATGACGACATCCTGGAGAGGGACCCATTGCGCGAGCAGAAGGACTTCGCTTTCGCCCAGGCTTACCTGAACAGGGTAAGGAGAACAGTTAGAAGGCTGGGTAGGAAGTGAGGCAAGCTCGCGTTCGAGAGCTGTTGTGCGGCAGGGTTGAGCTCTCGTCCTTTGCTCCAGCTCCTGCTGGGGACATGAAATCGAACGGGATTGAGTTCACAACCGCTTTGGAAATTCTGCTCTGTTCTGACCTAGGCTTCCTCAGTAGCACGAAGCCGAATCCTCATCCCGATAAACCCCTTTTATTTACTTTACAGTGAATTCCACTCCAGCAAAGTCTTTCCTCTCCCACAGTCTTTCAAGATAGTTCACAATTAGTGACCTTTATCAGGCTTGGCGAGTGGCCAGGCCGATATCTTTCAGATGCCGCCAATACTTGTAAAGAATGCAGGAATGAACTAATTGTCTCCTGCAAACACCACTCCCCTTTTGCTCCTCTTTTACTCCCTCTGGGAGGGGCCATTCATTGTCCACCTGTGGCTTTACTCCTGAGTCGACCCTTGTTCTTTAGACCCTTCGTCTGGCAACTCTGCGCATGTGCACACTGGGAACCGGTTCCAGCTGTTCCTCTGTCTCACTGATGTCTGACTCCGAAGGCAGCTGATAATTGTCAGACGGCCCTGGCCCACTCTCTGGCTCTGACGCAGAGCCCTCATCAGAGCCTTCTCCTGACTCCAGGACTGGCCCATTTTCCTCTCCAATCTCACGGTCTGAATCTGCTGTCAGATCCGCTGGCGGGCCAGAACTTGCTCCCGATTGCAGTCATAAGTCGAGGACCTCCTGTACCCATTGCTGAGTACCCTAATAGGGATTTTGGCAACTCGACCCCCATCAACTCCCACTAATTCTTGGTTTTACCCTACAGGTACGCGAAGCCCTGCGCCTCGTTCCGGGCAAATACGAAGAATTCCTCCGCAACATTTACGAATTTGAGAATAACCTGCAGAAACAGACGGCCGTCGATCTCTACGCCCGGCTGCGGGTCATCCTTCAGGACTGGCCTCAACTCTTGACCGATTTCGCGGCCTTCCTGTTACCCGAGCAAGCTCTGGAGTGCGGGCTGGTGAGTCAGCCGGGGAAGTTGGGGTAGCTCAGCTTGGCAAGGGGGGTTGAAGTTGGATAGGGGAGAGCGAGAACGCCTGGGGTCCACACCTGGGCTGGGTCTACTTCAGGTAGTCCGTTGTCAAGTTTCGATGTCGTCTCAAATAAAATAAATTGCATTTCCAAACAGATAGTCTTTGAAGAAATCTTTCATTTTATTAAGCACGACAACCTGTCCCCGACTGCGTCGTAGCCAACACTGACTTCCTGACCCCAAACCTTCCCTTTCTGTTCCCCAATTCTCTGCGTCTCATTGGCCTTCTTCCAAATCACTCTCCCCATATCGACTACTTCAGCTCCCAGGAATGTCCCCCCTCCCATCTCATCTCCTAGGGGATATTATCTTCAGGGAAAATAAGTAGGTGAAAAGTCAAGCGTCCTCTTGCCAGCTGCCCCCTTTTCTCCTTCTTATTTCAGCACTAGATTAAATGCAGGTTGAAGTGCTGACACCTGTTATCCTCCCGCTGATAAAAACATTTTAACTTTCTTTTTCTTTTTCTTTTTTATCCTTCCACCAGTTTGAGGAACAGCAGGCCTTCGAGAAGAGCCGGACGTTCCTTCGGCGGTTGGAGATCTGCTTTGCTGAAAACCCCTCCCACCACCAGAAGATCATCAAGGTCTTGCAGAACTGCGCGGACTGCGTACCCCAGGAGATCATGGAAGTAAGACGTTTTCTTGCCCCTCCTTCGTCGTATGTCAAGTCTAGCACTGATGATGTTACCTAGTCTGGTAGTGAAATGTCCTCAAGAAAACCTACGAAGCTCAGAGAGCACCAAGGATCTCGCAGCCTTCCTCCTCCTCTCTGCAGACCTCTGTCCCTTCTAGCACTGATGATGTTCCCTAGTTGGGTCATGAAACATCTGCAAGGAAACCTCCAAGCTTAGAGAGCACCAAGGACCCCATAATTCTCTTCCTTTCCTCAAACCTGTCCCTTATGGCACCGAAGAGGTTACCTAGTTTGGTAATAAAGAAAACCATGAAGCACAGAGATCCTCCTCCTCCTCCTCCTCCTCCTCCTCCTCCTCCTCTCCTCCTCCTCCTCCTCCTCCTTCTTACTCCTCCTCCTCTCCACAAACTGAAAATTTAGGTGTGTCTTATACACCAAATGTAGCCCTGTCCCCCACTGGCCCCCACCCTTTGGCCTCTGCCTCCCAGCAGTTACCTCCTTGCAAGCAAACAGGAAGAAAAAACAGCTCCTTTCAACTTCAGCACAGGCTAATTAGCACAAGTTGATTGGATCAGCCTCCCGACTTTCAGCTGATTTGCTCTCACCTGATTTGCTCTCAGCTGTTTTGCTCAGGGCTCTGCTGCTTGCTGCAAAGAGGTAAATTGCTGGAGCAGATTTTTTTTCCCTTGGGCTAATCAAGCTATGCTGAAAACAAAACTGAAAGTAAAGCAGGCTGTTGGCTGTTTGCTGCAAGGAGGCAAAATTGCTCAGAGGCAGAGGCAGATTTCTTTTTCTTCTTTTCCTCACCAAAAAAGGTAGGTGCGTCTTATACTCCGAAAAATACAGTAGATGGTTCTCTCTCCCTATTGATGTTTTAGTTTGCTTGCTTGCTTGCTTGTTTTAACCCTCTTGGAACATCTGGATTTAGCTGAAGACTCAGATGTGGCAGCTGCTGAAAGGACACGATCACCTCCAGGACGAATTCTCCGTCTTCTTCGATCACCTGCGTCCCTCGGCCGGCCGTCTGGGGGATTTTGAAGAAATCAATTGGACAGAGGAGAAAGAATACGAGGTGGGTGGGTGGGGTCTCCTCCCTGCCTCTTCTGGTCCTCCTGGGAGGGGGAATAGATTGGGACAGGTGTGGAGGTTAGACATTTTGCTCCTCCCAGCTGATGGGAGGAAAATCTGGAGCTACAGGAGGTAACCTGGTTTCTTTGCCCCTCTCCTTCCAGTTTGACGGCTTCGAAGAAGTCTCGCTGCCTGACATGGAGGAAGAGGAGGAGCCCCCCAAAATCCACGCCGCCTCGAAGAACAAGAGACGGAAAGAGCTGGGGAGCCAGAATGCCGAGAAGGTTTAAAATCCAGCCCCCTTTTTCTTTCAAAGCCCCCAACAAAACAAGGAACGTTGCTTAGATGCCTTCACAGTTGGAAGTTAGATAGATGATTGATAGATAGATAAGATAGATGATAGTTGGATGAGAGATGATAGATTGACAGATTGATAGATAAGATAGACAGATGATAGTTGGATGAGAGATGATAGATTGACAGATTGATAGATAAGATAGACAGATAGATGGATGATAGATGGATGGATGGATGTATATATAGATAAATAGACAGACAGACAGACAGATAAACACAGACTTTTAATTTCTGATTGTGCAGCCCAGGGTTGGTTGCAAAATGGGCAGCCAGATAAATCTCTTAAATAAAAATAAATGTAACATTTCCTATGGAAATTGCCCTTGGCTAAGCGGGGCAGTCCCGTACCTGAACAGCTGCTTTGCTTAGTGTCGCCGTTGCCAGTCCCACTTAGGGCCGTTAAGCCAGGGTCGAGCCAGCAATTAACGGGTTCATCGGAGCTGCCTTGAAAGCGGGTCAGCCCTTCCCACAGATAACGCTGGCTGGATCGACCCCTCCTGGCTCATTTGGGATTCTGGGTTCCCCCTTTTCAGGAGTCCGAGTGGCCGGAAGGACAGAAGGACTGGTGCAGCTCCTGCCACGAGAATAGCGGAGACCCCCGGCTGAAGCGCAGCAAACGGCGCACCTGCGCCAACTGTAGCACCAAGGTGAGGAGGGCGGCCGGGGTCTCGGGGAAGGGGCCAGAGAGGGAGGAAAAACTCAACCCCTCTGGAGGGTCCCCGAACCTGCCATGCGGGAGAATTGGGAAAGAGCGTGGCCAGCTGCCCCCTACCCCCCGGAAAGATTGACAGGTGTCGCTCGGCCTTCCCGCAGGTGGGAGACCCCAAAGGCGCCAAAAACAAAGAGCCGGGCGAGTTTGCAGAGGGTCGGTCCCAGCGAGAGCCCAGCCCTCGCCCGGAAGGGAAGGAGACCCTCGAGGGCAACGCGGAGAAGAGAGACGACGGGGAAGCCATCCCCGGCAGGATCAGAGCCGCCAACCGGAAGGGAGACTCTGCCGGAGGAGGAGGTGCGCCTGGGAGGGGGAAGAAAATGGTGGGATTATGGAAGGGGGTCTGCAGGAGGAGGGGCTGGGTTTTGGGGCAGAAGGTGGCTGTCCTATCAGACGCAAATGTCCCTTCCGGGGAAGGAAAGCTTCCCTTCCCTTTCCATCTTTCCCTTCCCTTTCCTTCCCCTTTCCTTCCCTTCCCTCATCCATTTTCTTCCCTTCCTCCCTATTACTTCATTTCCTTCCTTCCCACCTCCCTCCATATTTATTTATTCCTTTCTTCCTTCCCACCCTCCCGCCTTCCTTTTTTCCATCCCTCCTCTCCTCCCTCCTTTCCTGTTTTTGTTTCCTCCCTCCCTCCTTCCTTTCCTTCCCTCTCTCCCTATGTCTTTCTTCCTTCCCATCCTCTTCCTTCTTTCCATCCCTTCCCCTCTTCCCCCGTCATATTTCTTTGTTCCTTCCTTGCTTCCCACCCTCCTTCCATCCTTCGTTTTATCCCTCTCTCCCTCCTTTCCTCCCCCTCTCCTTCCTTCCTCCTACCAGTTGGATTCACCCTCCTCCCTCTCTCATTTCTCTCTCTCTCTGCATCCCAGGTGCTCGCCTGGAAGGGAAGCCCCTTTCATCCCGAGAGCCCCCTCCCGAGGGGCTCCTCCTGACAGCTTGCAAAACCGCGGAGCCTCCCCCTGTCCCTCCCTGCCCTCCAAACGGGGCCGAACCTGCCAAGAACCCACCTGCGGCTCCCCTTCCACCTTCGAGGGGGGCCTTCCCCCCCAAACCGCATCGCCTGAAAAGCAGCCTCTGTCCCACGGAGGGGAAAAGAGAGATGGGGCACGGCCCCAGGAGTGGGGGGGAGGCCCCTTCTGCACCCAACCCCGACAATTCGGAGACCGAAGGTCCTTCAAAAGCAATCCGGTTGGATCCTAATTCTCCTCCATCCTCCATCCTCGTTCCTTCTCGGCCGAGTCTCAAGGAGCTGGGCGGCCGCTCCCCCACGGGGACTACAAAACCCAAAGCTAGGGAGATGTTGTCCAAAGACCTCCCTCTGAAGACTTTGGGGGCGAGCCTGCAGACCGAACCAGAGATCTCCCCAACCGGCGGCACGCAAGCCGCCAATCTAACGGGGAAAGCAGCCGAAGGAGGGGGGGACGTCCGGTCACCCAAGGAAGAGAGGTCAGCCCCTGCCACGGTCGGTCCTGATCGCGGTGCGCCCATCGCAGGAGAAGACCTGCAGCCCAGGACAATCGAACCCACGGTCTGTGCCAAGAACATCAAGGTCAGCTCCACGGGGGAGAAAGTGGTGTTATGGACCAGGTAAGTCTCCTCCTTCCTTTCCTGGCGCTGGTCTTCGAAAAGGGTCGTTTTTTGGGGGAGCAGAGAAGTGGGCTGCCTTCAAAATCCCCCTGCTTTTCTTTCCTTCCCAGGTCTAAAGCAAGCAGTTCTGTTTGGGGGCTCCTTGACAGGTTTTAAGGCTGTTTAAACCAAGAGGATGATACCTAAATTTATTTATAAATTTATTTCGTCTCACCTATATATTTTCAGTCTATTACAGTCATCTATCTATCTATCTATCTATCTATCTATCTATCTATCTATCTATCTATCTATCTATCTATCTATCTACCTACCTACCTACCTACCTACCTACCTACCTACCTACCTACCTACCTACCTATCTATCTATTCTGACCTAGGCTTCCTGAGTCATTAAATCACACGAGTAGTCCCAAAAACCTGTTTTATTTTAACAGCTGTGAATTCTGTTCATTCACAGATGAGTCCCAAATAGTTGCAAAGAGTCCTTCGGGATAAGGTTGATAATCCCCCACCTTTATCTCCCTTGACACGCTGCCAAAGACCTCATTGGCAAAACCACACGGAGTCCAGAATCAAACAGAGATGCCGACTGGAAACAGAATTAACAACGTTGCTTTCCTGCAAAGGGCCAACGTGCCTTTGCTCCTCTTTTAAGTCTTATGGGAGGGGCCAGTCATCTCCAGGCCTTACTCCTGAGTCGTCCCTTTTGTTTTAACTGTTCTTGCCTTCTGGCAAAACTTTTTAAAAGCATTTTTTACTACCGGCTCGGGCGAATAGGTAGTAACAAATGCTTTAAAAAAGTTAAAAAAAAAAAAAAGGTTCCGACGATCGCGTGGCACAGCTGTGATCGTCAGAGCCTTTTTTTTTTTTTACTTTTTAAAAGCATTTTTTACCACCTATTCGCTGGAACCAGTAGTTAAAAATGCTTTAAAAAGTTTTTTTTTTAAAAAACGTTTCAATAATCGCATGTCGTTCAGCTGATCGTCGGAACTTCTTTTTATATATATTTTTTTACGACCGGTTCGGCGAACCAGTACCAATTTTTTATACCGGTTCGGGCAAACTGTCTAAATTCCCTTCCTCTTCCAGGGAGGCCGACCGCGTGATCCTGACCAGCTGCCAGGAGCGAGGGGCCGATCCGCAGACCTTCAGCGCTATCTCCGAACAGCTGGGCAACAAGACCCCAGAGGAGGTGGGGCCTTCCTTCCCCTGGGGCTCTCGGGGACCCCACTTTCAATTGGGTCAAATGTGTCTTCTGGGAGAGCGGAGAGCGCCAGCGGGGCTAGGGAATTCTGGGAGTTAAGTTCCATATGTGCTGTTGGGGAATTCTGGGAGTTGAAGTCCCTAAATTCTGGCTGAGGAATTCTGGGTGTTGAAGTCTACATAAGCCAAGCTGGGGAATTTTGGGGAGATGGAGCCCATACGTGCCGCCTGGGGGATTCTGGGAGTTTGAAGTCTGCACAAGCTGCCTGGGGATTTCTGGCAGTCCATATATTCTGGCTGAGGCATTCTGGGAATTGAAGTCTTCACAAGCCAGGCTAAGGAATTCTAGGAGTTAAGGTCCGTACGTGCTGTTGGGGAATTCTGGGAGTCGAAGTTCCTGTATTCTGGCTGAGAGATTCGGGGAATTGAAATTCCTAAATTCTGGCTGAGGAATTCTGGGAGTTGAAGTCCCTCTATTCTGACTTGAGGAATTCTGGGATTTTGAAGTCTGTACGAGCCAAGCTGGGGAATCCTGGGAGTCGAAGCCCACCCATCTTCCCAGTTGCCAAGAATCGCTGATGTAACACGGCTGCTTTTCCCCCCACTCAGGTAGCCCACCGTTTCCGCGAACTGATGACCTTGTTCCACACGGCCTGCGACGTCAGTTCGGACGACGAGGACGACGGGATGAGCACCAGTCACACTGACCAGCTTTCCGACAAAGATCCCGCCCTCTCGGAGGACGAGCGGGAAGAACCGGGTTTTTAAAGCTGCAGAGAGGAACTTTTGGGGACGCGTTTAACACCCGCCCCCCTTTCGCTCAGCGGCTCACTTGAGACACCCTGGAAAGACACCGGAAAGTTAATGATTTTTAATTCTCTTGCACAATGTGGGTTGCTTGGAGGTGAGAAGAATCCCACCGTCTCTCGGATCTGTAAATATTTTTTTTTTTTTAAAGTAGGAAATGTATAAATTAATGGGGAGGGGGCGAATATTTATTGAGTGATCGTATTTTAAAGAATTAAAGCAGGACGTCGTGACGGCGTTTCCTCCTTTTTAAACAAAAACACGCAAAGGAGGCATCCTCGGCAAAGTTTTATTTCTCTTTTGATTTCAACCGCGAGCCGAGCCGAGCGGCATCCGCGGCAGTCTCCGAAAAGCAGCTCAGTCTGTATCGTCATCCGAATTTTCGTCCAGGCTGCTTTTCTTGTAGCAGAGAGACAGCGTCCGCAACTCGTCCAGCGCCTCTCGGAAGTCGTCCATCTCCACCCTGGCGGAGAAGAAACTCTCCCACCGGCGCAAGTCCATTCCGTGCAGCTCTCGGTAAATATCGCCCAGGGTTCGGTATAAGCCTGCCGAGGATTGGAAGGCCGCTAAGACGGGGATGCTTTCGATCTCTGTAGAGGAGAGAAAATCACTGAGTGGTGGGATTTCTGGGTTCGGCTGGAATTGTGACAGGCCGTGATTTTTGCAGGATTCGGTACTGCCGATTGACTTCGCTCCCCACAATCTGGTTGACCATCGTTTCAAAGGATTTGAAACTTCGATACCCAGAATTCCCCAGGAGGTGCACTCCTCTTAAAAAGCAGGCTGGCTGGGGAATTCTGGGTATTGAAGTCCAAATATCTTGAAGCATGCTAGCTGGGGAATTCTGGGAGTTGAAGTCCACCCCTCTTAAATTAAGCTGGCTGGGGAATTCTGGGACTGGAAGTCCACCCATTTTAAAGCATTCTGGCTAAGGGATTCTGGGAGTTGAAGTCCAAATATCTTGAAGCATGCTGGCTAAGGGATTCTGGGAGTTGAAGTCCACCCATCTTAAAGCGTGCTAGCTGGGGAATTCTGGGAGTTGAAGTCCACTAAATTGCCAAGGTTAAAAACGTTGCTCCTGGTGAAATCATTTGGTACGCAAACAGGAGGAATAACTTAAGGGCAGGGAACCCCTAAGCCACACTCGTTGTGGGTGTGTTTGTGTGTGTCCTTACTTGGTGGGCCGTACAACGGCTTCTCCGAGAGGAATCCGTGCTTGTTCAGGAAGGGCGAGAAAAACTGGGGGTACGGAGCCAACAGCTTGCAGGGCCCTTGCAGCAAAAGCGAGGTGCTGTTGGAGAAAAGGACGGGAGGGGTTTTTTTTGAAAGGGAACGTTTTCCCACCCCTCCCATCATCCCCTCCCTCCCTCCTCTTCCTCCTCCCCTCCCTCAGGCTGGCTGGACCACCAACCTCAGCGTCCGGGGGGAAATGGTGTGTAAGTAACGGGCCAGCACTTCCTGGCCGGTCTCGCACATGTGAAGGACGGATTTGGGTTCGGTTCCTGGAGGTACATTGCTGGAAAGGAAATAAGAAGGAAGAACCCTAAATTTACAATTGGATTGTGAAGAGACCCCTGGAGCTGCCAAGGGGGACAATTTTAAGTTTTAAAATTTGGTCGCTCTCTCTCTCCAAAGGCGGACTCCGAATCAGCCAGAAGGCCGCAAAAAATGATCATTCCTCCAATCATCGCTTTTATTCCTCCGCGGACCCGCTGCCTTAGCGACAAGCGAAGCGAAATGTTAAAAAGTTATATTGATTTACTGAAGCCCATCTAAACGATATTAAACTAACCAAAATATCTTTGCCATGGAAAGCTGAAAAAATTTGACACGCCGTTAAAACAGGTCAACGATCCGAGTTTATTGGCTGCCCGTCTTAACCACGAGGTCAATTCTTTGGCGGCTTACGGTTTAGAAGACTGAAGGCATTAAAAAAAGGGGACTTACGATCATTTTTCACACTGAACGACCGTTGTAATTCCCCACGGTCACGGGATCCAAACTCAAAGACGCTTGGCGACTGACTCGTATTTATGACGGAGCTGACGCGATCCCATTTTGCGACCTTTCGGCAACCAAAGACCCAACGGGGAAGGCCGGAATCGGTTAACAAATTGTGTTGCTGGCTTAACGGGGATTCGCTTCCCAAAAGTGGCAAGGAAGATCGTCAAAGGAAGCGAAACTCGCTTAGCGACCGTCTCGTTAAGCAACAGGAATTTGGGGTTCAATTGTGGTCGTAAGCCAAGTCCTATCTATATTTGTGCATCGGTTTGTAAAGGTTTTATAAAAGTAATGGAAATAAGGCTCACCACGGAAAAAAAAAAACCCCAATTATTGGCAAAGAGTAAGCTAACGCACAAAAACACACAAATGTACAAGCACACAGTCTTAAGAGCGTGCATGCAAACCATGTACAGACCCACCTCACTTGCTGCCGTTTGCCGATCCCTCGCAACACCACCGACTGAGCAAAGCAGCCGGCATCGCTTCGGTTGCCGCAAGACGACAACGGACACCAAACCTCGCTGGGTTGTTGGTTGTACAAGGCGTCGGGAAGGGACTGGTCTTCCGCCACGGGGAAGGGCACGGCGGCCGAAGCCTCTGCAACCTGGGGGAGAGAAATGGGGAGGGGGTTTGAGGGTGTCTCTTTTTGCTGGGGGGTCCGATGTGGTCCCCCCCAAGCTTTAGACCCTGGTGGTTCCCCCCAAAAACCAAGTTTTAACCAGGACTACCGTGTTTCTCCAAAAATAAGACCCTGTTTTATATTTATTTGAACCCTGAAATAAGCGCTTGGCCTTATTGCCATGCGCTCAAAAGTCCGGTTGGGCTTATTATCAGGGGATAATGTCTTATTTTGGGGGAAACAGGGTATCTAGGTTACAAGCAGAGCTGAAGAAAATAGAGGGGGGGTTTTTTCCAAGTACAGGTAGTCCTTGACTTACAACCGTTCGTTAAGTGTCCGTCCAAAGTTGGAACGGCACGGAAAAAAGGGACTTAGGGCCAGGTTTTTCACACTTAACGACCGAACAAATCAAACGAACAAATGTTTAAAAAATTACGATATTGATGTAGTTATTTACCAAGCTCATCTAAATGATATTAAAGTGACCACAATATTTTTAAAATCCGCAAGGCGTGTCGCGACTTTTGAGCGTCCCTCCCCCCCCCTCACGTTTGGAAAATGGAAAGCTGGCAAATTTGACACGGCCCTTAAACGGGTCATCCTCGCCTTAACGGCCATTTGTTTATTATGTTTTGTTTCTTCATCAAATTTATTGGGCTCGCCCGTCTTACTGCGAGGTCATTCTTGGCGGCTTTACAGACTGTTCGAAGTTACAAAAGGGACTTACGACGGCGTTTTTTCACACTTAACGACCGTTGCATAACATTCCCCGTGGTGACGTGATGAAAATTCAGACGCTCGGCAACCGGCTCGTATTTACGAAGGTCGCGGTTTCCTGGCGTCAGGCGATCCCATTTTGTGAGCTTCCGACCAGCCAAGTTAACAAGGCAAGCCAGATGCCCTTAACGACCGTGTGACTCACTTAACAACTGGAATGATTCACTTAACGATGTGCAAGAAATCGTAAAACGGGAGGCAAAACTCAATCAACGTTGCTCGCTTAGCAAGATAAATGTTGGGCTCCGTTGCAATCGTATGTCGAGGACTACCGTACCTTCCTTCCGGAAAAATTCAGAGTTTCGGTCAGGTTGGACATGGTGATGTCCGACATCTGGAGCCGGTAGGGGATGGTCAGCGTGTCCAGGGCGGTCGCGAGAATGGCGCTCGTGTGATAATCCAGAGACGGCTAAATGGAATTTGTAAAAATGATTAAAAATTCTCTTTTACGGAGATATTTTAACCAAGTCTATTTGGGACGGTTTTAACTATAGGTAATCCTCGACTTACTACCATAGTTGAGCCCCCACCCTGTTTGCGGCTAAGCGAGACGGTATCGAAATCAGGACGCTTATCAACTCTGCTTCCTGTTTACGATGGCGGCCATGTGCTGGGATTTAATTTTTGCGAGCGGAAGTCAACGGGGAAAGGTTCGGATTCACTTTACAACCTGGCGGCCGCAGGGATTGGCTTAAACAACGGCGGCCAAGGAAAATGTGGCGAAAAGTCACCGAGCAAACGTCTCGCTTAACCACTGGCATTTTGGGCTCGGTGGCGGTCGTACGGCTGAGGACTGCCCGTGCCGAGAACTCTGCAAGCAGGATTGAGGAGAGGGGATGGAGGTGCCCTCGTTCTGCAGCCCCAAAGACGCGAATGCTCACCTTGTACTGGAGGTATGGCAGGGACACCGGGCCGTCCTGTTTGAGCCCCAGGCGTCCGTTGAGCGACAAGGGGCAGAAGAGGGAACTCTGGCTGGACAGACGGATGATGCCCAGAGCCGTGTTCATCAGCCGGTAGAAATGCCGATGTGGGAGCTGCAGCGAAGGGAGCAAAAGGCCATCAGATCCCGGCACCCGAATGCGCCTTCACGGCACATGAACCTCAAGAGAAGTTATGCCACTCCTGGTCCTTTGGCTCAAGATTTGCCCAAAACAAAACAAAACAAAACAAAAAAAACACATAAAGGAATAATGAGATGAGTTATCCGACAACGGGAGTTCCGGTTTTGACATCCTAAACTCGGCGTTCTGTCCTGTGCATGGTACTAGTCCTCAGTGAGCCCCGGGAAATATTTTTCCTGATCTGCCGGGCTGCTGATGAGAAGATAAGAGAGCCAGTTTGGGGTAATGGTGCAGGTGCTGGCTTGCAAACCAGGAGATGGTGAGTTCTAGTTCCGCCTCAGGCATGAAAGCCAGCTGGATGACTTTAGGCCAATCAACAGGCTACTGGAAGTTCTAGTCCGGTCTTAGTCATGAAAGCCAACTGGGTGACTTTGGGCCAATCACCAGGAGACGGGGAGTTCTAATCTGCTTTTAGGCATGAAAGTCGACTGGGTGACTTTGGGCCAATCACCAGGAGACGGGGAGTTCTAGTCCGGTCTTAGGCATGAAAGCCAACTGGGTGACTTTGGGCCAATCACCAGGAGACGGGGAGTTCTAGTCCGGTCTTAGGCATGAAAGCCAACTGGGTGACTTTGGGCCAATCACCAGGAGACGGGGAGTTCTAGTCCGGTCTTAGGCATGAAAGCCAACTGGGTGACTTTGGGCCAATCACCAGGAGATGGGGAGTTCTAGTCCGGTCTTAGGCATGAAAGCCAACTGGGTGACTTTGAGCCAATCACCAGGAGACGGGGAGTTCTAGTCCGGTCTTAGGCATGAAAGCCAACTGGGTGACTTTGGGCCAATCACCAGGAGACGGGGAGTTCTAGTCCTGTCTTAGGCACCAAAGCCAGCTGAGTGATTTTGGGCCAGCCCCTCCCTCTTAGCGCACCCAACCTCACAGAGTTGTCGTCGTGGGGAAAATAGGAGGAGGAAGGTGCAATAGGTATGTCTACCACCTTTGAGTTATTTATAAAAATAATGAAAGGCAGGACTAGAACTTCCTGGTCTCCTGGTGATTGGCCCAAAGTTACCCAGTTGGCTTTCATGCCTAAGACCGGACTAGAACTCCCCGTCTCCTGGTGAAAAATACATAAAAATTCAGAGTCTCACTCACGCTGGATTGAAGCACAGGCGTCAGCCCACAAGTCAAGATGCCTTTTCCCGCGTATTCGTCCTGCAGCAGCTCCACTGCCTTGGACCCGACCCCCGAGAAGCCGTTGTGTAGGTCGCAGAGCAGCTGAAATCCCTGGAGGAGGAGGAAAAAGGGGGTGACGGTGATTTTTGGGGACTTCCTGGAGAGCTAAACGCCATCCGGGCTCTTTTCCAAACAGGGCCGGTTGAGAAAGGATGAAATTATGGACAAAAATCTGGGATTGGCACCAGGCGACCTGGATGGCAGGAGAAAGAGCTGGGAGGTTCTTCCGAGGGTTGCTGAACTACAACTCCCAGCATGCCAAGCTGATAGCGCCTGGTGGGAAGTGGGTTTTAGACACCCCAGGAAAGTTCCAGGGTTTCTCCCTACGCTTTGTAGCAGGGGGGGTCTCCAAACTTGGTGACTTTTAAGACTTGTGGACTTCAACTCCCAGAATCCCCCAACTGGCCCTGTCAAAGTCACCTAGCCAGCTTTCATGCCTAAGGCAATACTAGAAGTCCCAGTCTCCTAGTGATCGGCCAAAGTCATCCAACTACCTTTCATGCCTAAGGCAGTACTAGAACTCCCTGTCTCCGGGTGATTGGTCCAAAGTCATCCAACCCGCTTTGACTAGAACTCCCAGTCTCCTGGTGATTGGCCTAAAGTCGCCCAGCCTAAAAAACAGGACTAGAACTCACCCCCTCCTGGTGATTGGTTCAAAGTCACCCAGTTGGCTTTTATGCCTAAGGCAGTACTAGAACTCACGGTCTCCAGGTGATTGATCCAAAGTCATCCAACCCGCTTTGACTAGAACTCCCAGTCTCCTGGTGATTGGCCTAAAGTCGCCCAGCCTAAAAACAGGACTAGAACTCACCGCCTCCTGGTGATGGGTTCAAAGTCACCCAGTTGGCTTTCGTGCCTAAGGCAGTACTAGAACTCACGGTCTCCAGGTGATTGGTCCAAAGTCATCCAACCCGCTTTGACTAGAACTCCCAGTCTCCTGGTGATTGGCCTAAAGTCTTCCAGCCTAAAAACAGGACTAGAACTCACCGCCTCCTGGTGATTGGTTCAAAGTCACCCACCTAGCTTTCGTGCCTAAGGCAGGACTAGAACTCACTGTCTCCTAGTGATTGGCTTAAAATCACGCGTGCTGGGGAATTCTGGGAGTTGAAGTCCACAAGTCTTTAAAAGTTGCCAAGATTGGAGATCCCTGCTTTACAGCCACGGGGGACAAGATCCCGTGGTGGGTGGATTACTCACCTGCAAGTAATCACACTCTTCGACGTAGAAGTGCAGCCGATCCTCCAGCTCCTCGAGGTACCGGCCGTCCTGCAGGAGTTTTTCTCCTTGCCCGAACGCCTCCAGCCGGTTGGATTCCCTGCAACAGACGGGAAGCCGAATTCGGGCTGGTCCTCATTGGGCAAGAGAAACAGGATTCCCCTTCCCCCCCAAAATTGAGAGAACAGCTCCCCCCTCCTCCCTGCCAGGACCCCCGACTCACTCCTCGCGGTTGTATTCATGGATGGTCAGGATGGTACGCGGGTGGAGATTGGTACGGAGGAAGTCTGACCAAGCGGGCGCCGGGCTCTCTGACACAAGCGGCTTGGCGAGCTGCTGTGGTTTTCCTGGGAGGAAAAGATACCACCAGGAGATGCACGGGTTGCATTTCACATGGC